CATTTATTAAAGTTAGTGTAATATATTTTGTGCGCGCACTATTCAGAAGCAGATACACAACCATAAAATCTATTTATAGGATATACTGTCAGAGCACAAGAGGTATGCTATCTGAAGCATGCCTATAGTTAGAAAATATGGAAGATGAGTGAGAGGTGTAAGCATCAAAACAAGTTAAAACCATCACACAATAGGCATATTTAGACGACGAAAACAAGATCATTAGTTACTATCAGAATAAATATACTTTCAACGGACATTCTTTTCCAGCGGCTTAGTATCGCTCTGTGCCAGCACGCGATGGAAGTGTAGGCGAAGCATTTCATCATGTCAAATAGGAATGCTCTAGTGTACGCTTACAGTATTTTTAATTGAAATATGTATTCAGATGCATGATAGATGGGGATATGAAATTATTATAGTTCGCGTATGAATTTACATACAGGAAAACTAGAAATCTATATATCACAGCGTTGACGCCATTACATAGAATCCTAATCGTGTTGGAGTGGAACACTGGCAACTCATACGCGAGTAGACTACCTCATTTGGTTTCACAAATTCGGAAAAATAGTGGCAAGTTGACACTCGTATCTCCTCTTACGCCGGTGGTGTGACGAAATACAACTCAACCTCTGTCCAGCAGATGTCTTCGTAGTGACTCACCTCCCCCGAGTGTGGTCACTATTTGCTCTGCAGTTTCAGGGGACCCACACCACCAGCTAGCTGGCCGTCGCGTCTTCGGGAAAGTCATGGGCCAACAAAATAGTGTCAGTGCGGAGACTCCTGTCAACTGCAACACGAAGTACTAACACAAATGCGCAGCATAAGATCGAACGGTTTTCGTAGCTAACTCCGCAGACTCGATTATGGCAACCCCACGGAGTTTCATAATCAACACCGCTAGTTCCCAAATAAATAATTTTTTCTCATATACTCACGAGTTATCAGTACAAATTTATATGCTTTAAAATAGACACAGAACGTTTAAATTGCGTTTTGTCTGAGAATTTTCGTAAACATTTTTCTCGTACTACTTTGAAGAACAGAAAAGTTATAGATAAATTCAGTAATGTATTAGATTAGATTTTAAATTTATAGTATAACCATTCAAACTTGAAAAATCTTGTTTTTAAAATTGTCTATATTCAACTTGCGAAACTCAAGCGTAAAAACTCCCTAGTTTTGAGAAAAATTGTTACTGATCATGAATCTTAAAGATCGAACTTCGAAAATGGCGATACTTCACTAACCAGAAAAAACCCTTGTCTTCGTATTGTAGAGTCGTGTTAAAAGGCCTGAAAAAATTTTTTTTAGCGGATAGTCTCGAAAAGAATTCGAACAATGGAAAGCCGGTGGGTCATTTTTGGCAAGGAAGTTTGCTATAGAATCCGGCGGTCCCAAAACAATATATAAACAATTTCGGAACGTTTTTGAGAAAAAATAGAAAACGTCCGTGAAGACTCGTGTAAATTACACACCGCAAAATTAACCATATCTCTTGTTAAAAATTCAAGTACATTGCAGCAGCAGCGACATCCGGATTAGACAGAGATTATCAGTTTTGGTGAATATCCTAGTTCAGACAGATGGACTGAACATTCTTCTGTGAACACCATTTTTAGGTAATCTAAGACACACAAAAGGTGGAGTTCTGGAGCACACAATGAATTAGAGGAAGATAAATTTACTATATACTTGGAAAGAGATTATCCGTCTTTTTCCGTATGCAGGCCCACAATAATGATATTTACTCAGTCGGAAAAGATCCGCTGTTTTTGCACACACTTGCAATAACTTTCTTTCTATACTTACTGAGTAAGTAAGTATGTGATGAAAGTAAAAAACCTGATAAAAAGAGTGGATTGATGCTATGATGATGATGATTCAGAGAGATTCAAGTGTTCCTTTCAATCCAAGTATGTAGCATCGTTTCGCGTGATCACTCGCACCGGGTCTCAAATTCAATTACGAACATCGCTATAAAATGAACAACTCTTTGGGAAAAAAACTCTTATTTTCGGGGGAATAATTCAAAGATTTTGAAAAGAATTAAACCGAACAAATATTTCTTCAGTAGCCTTCCACTGTGCTTGGGAAGCGGTCCTCTTCAGGCGCCAAGACTCTTACTGGAGAGAAGGAGACTGAAAGGAGTGGTAGAGGAGAGATAGAGATCAAGACACAGGACAAACATCATAAGTCATTGAAAGATGTGAATTCTTTTCATTACGATTTTATTGGAAGTTGAAGTTTGTGTTTTTATGTTTGTTTTTTTCTTTTTGTTTTATAGGTCTAGGTTTTTTGTGACCACACGATTAAAGACTCCAAGACTGCATGGGATGTATTTGTGAATTACCTGTTATACACCGTTCTTATGAGTCATCTGCCCTTCTGCGAGACACTCCGTCTCTCCCAAAACACGTGTCAGCGCAGAGAAGCAGGAAAGGAGAAGCGAGTCGTAGAGAACCGACGAAAGAATCAAATGGGCGAGGCGTGTTGGCGCTCTTTACTAATCGTTATGAGTAAGGTCAAGCTAGCTTGGAAGGAAGATTCAGATTAAGATTATGAAAAACAAATTATTTGCCGAAGCGATCACGATTCTCAGAGTCAAAATCGAGGCAAGGAAGACAAATTCAGATCTTGATGGGTAAAGGTTGTGTTTTCCGTTTTTGTAGGACTGTAGAGTACAGTAATTAAGAGATTGGAACAAGTTTGTAGCCTGCGCAGTTTTACAATGTTTCTCTCTAGTGTCGCGAAGTTGTAGAAACAAATTAGAGAGCAAGATTGTCAAATGAGTATGTGCTGTGGTAGTGGCGGTGGAGTGCATGTGACGTGCGTACGTCAGTGTGTTAATTGCAATGTAGGTAAATATTCAAAGCAAAAAAAGTGTAGTGGAAGTGAGAGTGAAGTGTCGTGAATCGTTGAAATCAATTGCGCTTGTCTAAGGTGCCTAGCTTTTCTCCTTGTTTTGTATTGTACCGGGGTAGTGCCGGTGCACATTAGTTTAGTTATTGATTAGTATGGATTATGCTATTACTTAGTTATTATCATTGATATTATATTATTATTATTAAGTTGATTGTTATTTATTATTGTTAGTAGCTATTGAATTTATATATAACATGGTAATGTGTTGAGTGGAGGACGGACCTACGTACGATTTATAAAGAGCGCAAAGCCTCGCCTTTGTTCTTCTCGTTTCTAGAGGTCCCCATAACTTTTTTGTTGCGTTACTTCTATAGGTAAAGGTTTTGCTCAACAATGTAGAATCAAGGGAAAAGAAATAAGCCGTAAAGAAATTGTTTGTAATAATTTTAATATTTGATCATTTTAATCACATTTATTTTCTAATTAGAAATCATATATTTATCGCTAACAATGGATACGTCATAAAAAGAGAAAGAATCCGATCTATCATTTTTTAATGTTTTGGTATTAAATTGAATATAAATATTGTGACATGTGATTTCAATTGAATAGGCAATTCCTTTAGTAGCTCATGCAAATATCGCCTGTGGGACATTTTGCTTTCTCGACGCCGAGAGTAGTTTTGGGAGAGGGAGGTCTGAGAGGGGTGATCATAAGGGGTATAGGCATAATTACAATAATCCATGATCTTGGAGTCTTAATCAGTGGTCAAAAACTTCAATTCCAATAAATCGATGAAAAAGAATCACTCATTATGATCGTTATTATTGATGTTTGTCCCTGTGTTCTTGATCTCTATCTCTCTCTACCACTCCTTTCAGTCTCGTTCTCTCAGTAAGAGTCTTGGCGCTGAGCAGGACCTTCCCCAAAGGCAACTGAAGGAAATATTGTTCGTTGAATTTCAATCTATATTCCAGAGAGTTTCAGAGTTTCATTTTATAGCGGTGTTCGTAATTCAATTTGAGACCGGTGCGAGTGATCACGCGAAACATTACATATTATTGAAGAACACTTAATCTCTGAATCATCATCATCATCATAGGCATCATCCACTCTTTTTACAGTTTTTACTTTATCACATATTACTTACGTAGTATAGAAAAAGTATTGCAATGTTGTGGCAAAAACAGGCGATTTTTCGACTGAGAAATTCATATTGTGGGGCCCTGATACGGAAAAAGAGGATGAATCTCTTTCCAATATATAGTAATTTATTTCCTCTAATTCATTGTGTGCTCAGAATCCACCTTTTGTGTGTCATTGATACCTAAAAATTGGTTTACAGAAAGAATGTCAGTCCATCTGCCTGAACCTAGGATATTCACCAAAATTGATAATCCTTGCTCAATCCTGATGTCGCTGCTCTGATGACTTGAATTTGAAAAGGATATGTTAATTTTGGGTGGTAATTTACACGAAGACTCACGGACGTTTTCTATTTTTTCTCAAAAACGGTTCCAAATTGTTTATATAATTGTTTGGGACGGATATAGCAAATTACGCTTCAAAATGACGCAGGTTTCATTTTCGAATTCGTTGAACTTCCGTAAAAATTTTTTCGGCCTTTTAACACATCTACAATATCGAAGAAAGGGTTTTTTTGGTAGTGAAGTATGATTTTCGAAGTTGGATCTTTAAATATGATCAGGTACAATTTTTCAAAAACTAGGGAGTTTTAGCTTGAGTTTGCAATGAATATAGATAATTTTAAAAACAAGATTTTATCAAAGTTTGAAATGGTATTACTAAAATAAAAATCATATCTGAATAATTACTGAATTATCTATACTTTTCTTTCTTTCAAAGTAGTACGCGAAAAATGTTTAGAAAATTTCGAAGACAAAACGCATTTAAACAGTTTTTTGTCTATTTTTAAAAGCATATAAATTTGTACTGATGAACTCCGTGGAATATGGAAAAAATAATTTATTTTGGGAACTAGCGTTTGATATGAACTCGTGGCGTTGCCATAATCAGTCTGCGGGTAGCTACGAAAAACGTCGATCCTTTGCTGCATGTTGTAGTACTTGTTTGCTTGACCAGGAGTCTCCACACTGACTATTTTGTTGCAGACTTTGCCGAAGAGCGACGCCAGCTGCTGGAGGTGGTGGGTCCCGAACTGCAGAGCAAATATGACCACATCGGGCTGGAGGTGAGTCACTACCGAGAGCCACTGCTGTGAATCAGAGGTTGAGTTGTATTTCGTCACACCCACGGCGTAAGATAATACGAGTGTCAACTTGCCACTTTTTTCTCGAATTTTGTGAAACCAAATTGAGGCTAGTTCCTCGCGTGTTGAGGCAGTACACTCAACACGACTTAGGTATTTATTATGGCGTCAAGCGCGTATAATATTTAGTTTTCCTTGTAAATTATGCGAACTATAATAATTTAATATTATCAATATTAATTTACACATATTTCAATTAAAAATACTGTAAGGTACTAGAGCATCCATATTTACAATAAAATCATCGTTTTTATGTATCTTTAGATTTTATTCTTTAACTCTTGAACAATTTTAAATAGTGTTTTCTTATTGATTGAAATGCGAGGGTAAGGAATACTCATGTTGGTAAATTTTCATAATATTGATTTATAAGATTTTGCAAATTACTGACCTTGTAAGAATAATTTGTATGTGTTAATTACCAATACTTTCAATTTTAGTGTGTTTTTATCGCATTCATCATAATAATCTGTTAAATGGTAGTGTTTTTCGCAAATGTAAACTTTGCAGTTTTATTTCTTCTTTTTTTCGTGGCACAATTACCCATTTCTTTTAAATATCTTCATGCTTTGAAATGGGAAAAGAAGTTGCTTGATAAGATTTACTACAACTACGTATTACTACAACAATTACACCATTATAACAAAACTCTTTGGACCTACTTTTCCCAATTAGTATATTTATTTTTCCACTGCGGTTATAACGAAGATTTACACCTTAGAATTCGCATATACACTATGTTTAGAACAACATAGTGCATCACCTACTCACAGTGCTGTGCGTGAGAACTAACCTAAAAACTTTCAGTGTTAGACAGCGAATTGACACACTTCTATGAAACTGTGGTCACACCCAATTGTTTCCATGACTGCACATTAGCCATCGCCCGCAAACGTAGCTTGCGTTTGCTCGTGGATGAAGGAAGAAAATACTATATTAGCTATGATAATGAAAAGATGTTCTACAAAAAGGTAGTTTGCTGTATTATTTGAGGAAATGTAAATTGCGTGGACATGTTTTCCAAAAGGCAACTTACATATTTGATATAACTGGGCGTTTGATGTCAACATGCAGATGAAATGCTTCGTATACCTGAACAAAGCCGCTGAAAAGGAATGTCGGAATGATATTTATTCTGTAGTAATAATGATCTTGTTTTCGTAATAAAAATGCATTGTGTGATGTTTTAACTTGTTTTGGATGCTTACCCTCGCATATCTCATATTTTTAACTATATCATCTTCAGATAGCATACCTCTTGTTGCTGACATATATCCCTATAATAGATTTTATGGTTGTATGTTCTGATAGTGCGCGCAAAAATATTTACATAATTTTAAAAATATAACAGGATTAATATTGGATGATCCGTGGTTAATTGTTGGGGTTCAAATGGTTTTATTTTTCCTGTTCTTGTCCAACGTAATCTTTGCGTTTTAGGTCTCGAAAATAGTTTGCCGATAGCTTCAAAGAACATTAAGGAAATAAATAAAGTTTTATGTATTTTCTGACATAACGAATTGCCTCTTTATATCGCATAATGCATATGCTAATAACTTAAATAACTTTCCTAAAAGATTTCTATATATTTCATATAACAATGAAAATGTACATTATTTAGCTCTAAACTGTGACATTACATATCTTATATTTGGCCTCATAAAAATAAATAGTTCTAATGAATCCACGGATAATCAATCTAACTTCATAATCAGAATACTAATAGCCATGAGCCAGTGCAGTAATACAGTTCTTGAGCAAAACATTTATATCTACTTTTGTCAAATAAAAACTAATGAAGTAACGCCAACTTTGAAATAAATAAATTAGAAAACATTTATTCAGACATTTTTGTCATACGAAACGAGCGATGTTGAATTTGCCTTCTCGACGAACGAGATGTTCGCTCGCTCGCACCCTCACGCGTTTGTCGTCTTGATTCGCTCGGGGAGACGTGTCCCCATCAGTACGACGCCCGTGGACGGAGAAGCCTTTGTTCCAGCGACCGGACGATGGCCCGGGACCGTCGTCGACTCTATTTCCAAAATAAATTGCGGGCCTAATGGTTTGTTTTCTTTGCCTCGCGGCGCCGCCGGAAGAAGCTGCGGGACCGTGTTCGTCGGGTGTTCCTCCTTCATCCCCCGCCCCACTCCTAACCGCCGTGCTGCCGTCGCCAATCTCGCCGGGAGGGTCAGCCTCCGCAGAGGTTGGTTGCCAGGGGAAGCAAGAAACGGCGGCGATGTTGGAGTAGACGGACATTCTGCGAAACTGATAGAATGAAGTTGTAATAAGGAGAAAGAATTATAAAACAATAAAGAAGAGAAGTGAGGGAGGGGAGTTAATGTATTTACAGTAGAAGAAGGAAATGAAAGGTTAAAGAGAACAACCGAGTAGTACGAAGGTTGAGAACACCAGAGTAAGAAATATGAAAAATAAGCTTAAGATTATGAATGTAGGGAATTATGTGCACAGGAGATATAAATGTAACAAGGAGAAAGAGAAACTCAAGTTTATCAGACGCCAAACAAATTAAAGTGCCAATCATAAATTATTCCAAGAGGATTGGTTGAAGAAGAGGGAAGTGGATGGAGTAAGGGAACATTGTAAACCGAGAAAAACGTTGGAGCGTTGCTTGAAAGAATTGAAAGAGTCTAGTTTAGCTCTTTCTCCTTCGATGTAGGCCGCCGTCTCACCTACCCCCGACAAATCTTTCCCGGCTCCTCCTCTACCATCCCAGCTGCCGCCAAGCGCGCTGCCACCACTCGCATGTATTCATCTTCTGCTCCCACATCTTGGCTGTCGGCACCATACACACTACTGACACCCCCGCATTTTTCACAACAAATGCTCTCCGCATATCCGCTACCTTCCCTCGCCATCCTATGCCAGTGCCATCTCTATCGTCTCCACTCTCCCCCTGGACTCTCCCATCACAACCATCTCCCACTTTCGTCACCTTTATCTCTCATTTCAGTCACTGTCGCCATTGCCACCACCCCTTGATCTTCTGCACACCCGCCGCGCCATCCACAATGTCAATTTCCCTGCCCCTCAACCTCTCTGCCATCCCGCCTTCCATCCCGCGCGCTTTGCCGTCCGCCGCAACACCCGCGCGAGTGTTTCGTCAACACGTTCCTCGTATTCTCGGCGACTTCGAATTTCCTCTGTGTCACTTCCGTACTCATAATACCTCCACGCGAACAACTACCTACAGCGGCACACGACTCTTCTTCTCAATCTCTTTTAGTTGGCCGTATCAATTTCGACATTTTGACTCTCTCTTTCGTTGTTGGTTTTGTTATTGTGACTCACGCTCGTGAAGGCTAAAGTTGTAAGAAATATTTTGGGACGTGCAATCAAAACTAGCTCACTGGAAGAAAACGAAACGATTATTGTTCGATAGTCTTTACTCTGAACATAAATGCCACTCTTCAAATGGTAATACATTGCCAAATCTAAAATCTGAAGTTCTGGAATATTTTACATTTGTTTTGTGTACTGGACTTATCAGAAATACAATGAAAGATACATTTATGTGGAATCCACATCGATGAGAGGCTATCAAATACAGCATTGAGGTTCGTAATGGAAGAGAAATGCATTTTTTTATGCGATCTAGTTTCTAGTTTATGTTATTTTATGCTCTATAATGCATTATGAATTCCGTTTTATGCTCATAAATTCTCTTTGTTGGCCAATATGTCACGACTTTGAAATTGCGTTGGGACAAGATTCTAAAATAATTTTAATTATAATTCAAGGGACGTGATCATTTGCCAGCGTATAATAAGAAAAAATCAAATTGAAGAGGTGTTTTTTCTCAACCAATATATCCATTACGTACCCCAGCACCGCCATAACATACCCCACAATAACCATTCACAGTTTAAATTTCTAATATCGTGAATATAAATAACATCCTAACTTTATCAGAACAGTATTTATTTAGTGTTCAAAGGTCTGATTACGAACATTTTGTTGACAACTTAATTGTGATTCCTCGTCTCAAGGTTGATTGGATACATTCACTATTCGGTTGTTAATATTTGTAGTAATTTATTATTATGAACTAACAATTTCAATATTATTATTATTATTATTATTATTATTATTATTATTATCATTATTATTATTATTATTATTATTATTATTATTATTGTAGTTGTTATTAAGAAGCATGATGTCTATAAAGATCATTTAACGAAAGAACGTTCAATTTTCAGTTATAATTATTTTGTATGATGATATTATATGGAACCTTCACATTTCTTTAGGTAGTGTCCCCTGCTCATCCCTGAATGAATGGTTAGCTTTCTCTCACAGATCGTGAATGGATGCGTATATTGGTTTGCTTAAATGTAATTTTTTTGCATTCCTCAAACTCCGATATAATTGATCCATATCCGCAAATAGTAATAAAATAAAATTTGCAATTGCAAAAGTAATTATGTTTTTTTATTAAATGATAATTTTTTTATCTTTTCGGCATTAATGATTGTTTACATAGATGTAATAGATAAAAATATTTATAGAAGAAAATTATTTTACTGCAAACAACTTTCTGGTAGCTTTTTAGAAATTACACAATTGATATGTGATAATGTTCCGAAAGCAAATTATTAGAAGTACGAAAAATTTAGCAAGTATCTTCTGAAAAAATATTATTACTATTATTAAAATTGGAAAAATGTGCCTAGAGATATATGTAATTTCCATGCAATTTGATTAGTATTATATTTGAATATTTACATTAAAAACAAAATTTGCACAAACGTTTTAAATTCTAGTTTTTGATTTCATCGTTGCATTTTATTGGTATACAATTTTAAAAAGTATCTTAAAACATGTCAAACAATTCTGAAAAAATGGCCACAAAAATATAAAGTAAATGTCAACGAACATCAATTGAATTAAAAATAATT